GAGGCTTAATTATAACAATCACATGAAATTAAATAATTAATATAATTTAATTATAACAACAATAAACACCAGAATCCCAGTGATATCTTGACTTATGTCACAATATGTACATTAACACATCTGCCAGCTTTAGCTCAGTATAATGTCAGTGGCCTCCAGCTTTTGGACATTTAGTGGGGTTTCGATGCTTGAGAGGCATCTATCAAACTGCTGACAGCTATTGTGTGAAGCGCACCTCATTTTCCAAATCTGCCTCGCAACAGAGTCCTCTCCTCTGTCCTTGCCGCTCTGGGAGGGGTTCTTAATAGTGTGTGAGCGCTTGCGTGTGCGTGCCCGTGCATGTATATATGACAGAACCGAACCAATGACAGGCACCTCAGCCCAGCCCAGCCCTCGCAACAAAGAGGGCTGGTGGGTTTCACTGCAGCCCCTCTCGCTCTCCCACACGCTCATAAATAACCATACAGAGCCTCTGTCCTGGCCAGGGGGAGAAAAAGGAGAGAAAAGAGCCATTTAGGCAGCTCCTCTCCTCTCATGCCTTCCAGCTGACCTTTTCTAAGGGTCAATCAGTCCAACCACAACTCCGTACTTCGACCCCCCTCCCCTCTCTCTCCTTACTGACACTAACCTGAATCATCTCAACTCTGGTGCTCCGGAGAGAAGCCACTTAGCAGGCTTGGGTCATTGTAAAGGAGCATTTAAGAAGTAGAAGGCGTAAAGCCTCACAAGCTCTCAGTCCCTGAGCATGTGAGATGGCAGGCGAGGTCAGAGGTGAAGGTCACAATATGGGAGGAGGGGGAATAAATCCTGTAGCATGGACGACAATAGCTGCAATCCCCACTGACAATGATGCCATTGTGGGCTATGGGTTGCTTAGTGTGTCCTGGAGCTGTGCCTAATAGAGTTATAGTGCTGATGTGATGGCTGTGTAGCAGTGTCCTTTTATATAAAGGGAGCAACTGCCGAGGAGCTTGAAAGAGGTCTCGGCTTCTCAATTTTGCTTTGCATGAAAGCCTGGGATTGTGTGTGTGTGTGCATTTGTTTGTGTGTATGTGAGAGAAACAGAGAGCCAGGTTACTAGCTTAACTTCACTGAACTTCCAGCCATGAATCCTTTGCTCACTGACACACATGACTCTTCTCTGTAAAGACCCATGGCTGACTCATAGTTGAAGATGCATTTGCAGAAGTGGACCTGACAGACAACAACACAGACTTGGTGTTTAGAACAATTGGGAAATTTCAGAATTTACTTATAACTTGTTCTGAAACAATCTTTTAATTGTTTAAATAATTTATCAAGTTTATTTCTGTTTTAGTGTACTGTACCAAAACTGTTTTATTATTTCTGACATTTAAAACAAAACAATTCATCAGAAACAATGACGTGAATGACAACATATTATGTGGCTGTGATAAATAGCCCTATAACCTACTATAATCATACCTAATCATACAACGGCTGCAAAACTGACAGCATCTCATGGATATGTTCTGCTTACACTTGTCACGGCCGGGCCTTTATTTGGCGCACCACTTAAGCAGAGAGGTGGGGAAGGCCTCTGGAGAGACAGAGGCCGCTGATACCACAGGATCATCATCCCCGGCATAACTCAGACACTCAGCTGGTAAACGTTATGTGGTGGCATGCCACGAGTACCTCAGTTGTCACCTCTGTTAGCAAGATTAGGCTCTGGCAGAATGGAGTGACAGATGACGAGTGGTGGGTATGACCACCAGGTGCTAATGCAGAGGACAGAGAAAGAGACGGCTGGACTTGACAGACAGAGAGGCAGACAGACACTGGAGTGTTTGGAAAAACGGTATGTCAGTTTTGCTGATGTCTATAGTAACAGTAGCCTCCAATTTGACATTCCCTCCACCAAACATTGGTTTTCTGTTTTTTTTTCCTCTTTTTGGCTTCTCTTTGACCTCCTTAAAAGAACAAGCTATGTTTCCCAGGGCCCAGCTATTTGAAGCTCATACTTTTGGTCATCCAAAGTTTTCTGTTCCAACTCAAGCCGTTCAGACACTGTCCCCACTTACATTTCCACAATGGCAGGGTCCTGGGGGCCAGACCATAGCCGCCCTACACTCTGCCCGCAGTTGAGTTGCCTCTGGCAGGACTACTGCGTGCTTTGTGTGCTGGTTCTGGCCGCCGATCAGGGAAACCCCACAGTCTCTCCATGGTGAATGTCGAACGCCCTGCCAAGACCATTATGCATCCCTTCAATGGCCGTGAATAGCAGCACACTACAGTACAGAAGATTTGAGAGATGTGCAATTCACCCAGGCCTACAATGCGAGACCATGACACAGATACCCACACTGGTGAACTGAACTAATCCCTGACATGGTTTCTCCGTGTTGTGTCTTTGAGTCTTTTTTCGGATCGACAACAAACAAAACAAAGCCTGATAAATTGTGTCCTACACTGCATTGCACAGGAAGTATGAAAACAGTTGCTGAATAATATTCCTTGACACAGATAGGGAACTGAGTCTAAACAAACATTACTCTCTAAAAGGCCAGGAGATTATTCCACTGATTCTACAAATACTGGTTGTTGTGACTTAGTGTGGCTAAGTGAATGACAGCAGGAGGCCTATCATGTACACATTTAACATAATATGTGGATTAAAGCTCTTTCCATAATTTCACCACAGAGTTCACGTAAAACACACTTAACCACAATAACCTAATAACCTCTATGACACAAAAACCAATCCTTATGTATTTGTATTTCACTTCCTGACACTGCTTTCCTGACCAGAGGAATGACCAGATTATAACGTTTGTAACACCTACTCTCCTCAGAATTTGCAACAATAGTCCCTCTGTAGTGCTTCTAAGTTGTTTGTCAGTGTCAAAAATGTAAATCTAACAGAATTACAGTTTAACTGTTATCTACATTTACACAGTAGAACATCTGTCTATTAATTTCAAAGTCATGCAGCGTTTCCCAGCACTCCAGTGGCATATTGTGGTAGTGGATATCAAGATGAGTCACATCAGCTAGCAGGCAGCTGGCAGGCTTGCCGTATCAGCCTATCCCAGTAATCTTACGATTAGCCTTCACTGATCCCATCAGGACTGCCTGGATCTGGGGTGCAAAGCCTAAAGGTTTATCCTGCACGTCCACCCCCCCATCGCCCCGACCACTATACGCACACGACACAAATGGGGCACACACACAAATGCACAGCACATCCCAAATATAATTTTTTAATACTGATCATAAAGGCAACACATCCCAAACACAAAGCCCAAAGTCCCCCCACTGACGTGCCTGGAGCCCCGGTGCTGTTGCGTCTCCAGAGGATGGTGGTAGTGAAATGTGTCATGGGGGTCAGACCCAGAAGTTAAAGGGGCAAATTTTGTGGTCTTCTGACACCGGGAGAGGGGGAGGTGGAGGGGGAGAGAGGGGGGGTGGTTGGGTAGCAGCCAAGTGACATGCCGCGACAGGCTTCAAGGTGTCTTAAAGTAGAAACGCATGGCAAGCACACAGACAAACACTCATACATTGCACCCACAAATACACACAGAGACACGTGAGCACATTCAGCCAATGTGCACACACACCCACACAATTACATACTTGTCAAATGGAGGATCTGATGTCTTAAAGAAACCTGCCAACATCCAACGATTAGCATTTGACAAGTTAAAGAGCATTTGCATAAAACATGTAAATGATACACATTTTTTTTTTACCTACATTTTTTTTGAATAACTCTGTATGTGTTTGTCTGAAATATGTGCGCTCGCTTGCCATAATATGGTCCATAATAGCAGTTACTTAAGGACAGTTCATGGGCTCCGACTGGACACAGGAAAAAATCGTCTTACTGATGGGAAAAGGGAATGCTGGAGGCATTTACCTCCCTGACTCTCTGTCCCTGGGTCAAAAGGGGACAAGCCATAAACGCCTGGACACCAACTGAGACAGACCTCCGACCATACAGGCCTTGTTTCACTCTCCTTGCAGCCACTTACATCAGCTGGTGGAAGAGGCCCTGGCTGTTTAAATTTATAGCACAATGTCATTCTGTGTCATGAAATGAGCAACAATGCATGTATTCATCCAACATGAATGCATAAGCAGATAGTTATCCTGATTCTTGGGCCATTTTTAGCATATGAACATAGAAACAGCAGAATGTCTCTTCATAAAACAATCCATTCGTTCAGCCTTATATTCGTTTTTTAAATCTCTCATGTGTACGTATGTTAACACCCTTGCTATAACCTATGCTGTCTTTAACAGGACGATCTGAGAGCAGCAATAATTACGAGGGGTGGCAATCAAGATGCCATTTGTGCTGCCGAACATGTTTGACAAGCTCAACAAGAATATAATACACACTTTCCAAGAAAGCAGTCTGCTCTGTTACCTTGCAGACAAAAGAGTTTGGTGCCTGGAGTCTGGTGCTCCCTGGATGCCAAACAGTTAAGGACAGTTTCATTGTCATTAAACCTATAGCATGATGTCATTTCATTGCAACCTATTCACTCACCAGTGAATTTGTGCAAATCTTAAGTGGCAGAAAATGCTTTAACTGCTAAAGGTTTAAACATTAAAAAATGTAAGGTTTAAGTTAGATCACGTCCTTATTTAAGCTTTCAGGCTAATAGACTAGGTTTTTCTTTTCCATTCATGCCCTGAAAGGAATTTTTCAGCTGTTACAGTGCAGCTTGAGGAGAGTTGAATGAAACAGTCTGGACTGTACCATTACATTGTAGAGGTTACTGATGTGGTAAACAACCATGTATCTGCGAGCGAAATTCACCAAATAAATCACCAAATCTCGGGAAGATTCTACTAAAACACAATGCTTGTTCTTATTCAACTGTGTAATATAAACTTGACTGGGTGTGTTTTACGTGACAAGCAACCCTACAAGAAAAAGAAACCCCCTGCTGTAGCAGCGGGTTGGGCCGCGCCAAGATGATGTTACGAACAGCCCTTTAAAGTCGCTCCACTTCCGAGATGAAGTGAAGTAGAGCTCCGCCGCACAGCGAGTAGACATGAACTGACAATCTCTCTAAAAGCCCACAGTTAGACAGGGTATGTTGAGAAAACACATTTGGACTTTGGGATGTTTTACGGACTTGGAAACGAAGGAGTTTTGTTTCCGTCCACATCTATGTAGGACGTGGCGACTGCGTTAAAGTCAATTTGCAGCAAAAGGAAAACGTGCAATTTTTTTTTTTTTTGTCAAATAGGCGCAAAGACAACAGCGGCAACCTGGACTACTCTTTTGAAACAGGAATGGTTTATCCTCCCGAAGGTTTATTCTACATCGAAATGGATCAAGCACCACCAGGTAAGTTAGGGTTAAAAGCAGCCATTGTGTGATCTGCGGGGGGTCGGAAAACCTTTTTATTCGTGTGTCTGCTTTCTCCCCTCCCCTGCCATCACCCCGTCTAATATCTGGAATGAAGCTGACATCCGACAAAACGCTGTGCAGGTGTCGTTAAAACGTTATAATGGCTCGGGTCCCGAGTGCTGCGCTCCCCAAGTGGCATTGCCCAGGCATGCATAGCGCAATCCACTTGCCAATTACGTAATAGCTTTCTGTGGACCAGGCGCAGTGGCTTGCCTCTTTTCTTTTGTCCCAGCACCTAGGACTAACTTGGGCAGAAATGCACGGCGCTTTTTGTAATAGTCTTTTTTTTTTGCATCTGTGCTCATAAAGCGACAGATGTGCAGAAGGTGTACAGCAGTGTGGAGAGCGCATTTGGAAAAGGGGATACGGTTGCGTTAATGAGCGCCGCATGAAACGACCGCTTTGTTCTCCTCTGCAGCCAGCCGTGCTTAATGTGTGCGCTAGCTCTCAAAGTAGGCTACAGGCGAGCAGACGAGACACACTCGTCTCATGACTAAACTCCGCCAACTCACCGATAGTTCTTCTTTATTATTATTATTGACATTTGTCATCTGACCTCCGCGTTATTACATTGTCCTAACAGTGTATAACACTCTGTATTGTGGTATCTCAGCCCTCTTGTGTCCTGTTCTAAATGTCAACCTCGCTTATGAAAGCTGCATCATATTGCTGGTGCACATTGCATTCATTATGACTGATGAGCACAGAGTGTGAACTTTAAATGAATACTGCTGACACACCGTAAGAACAATACAGATGCCCTGTATTGTTCCCATGAGGTCTGTGTTGTGTTGTGTGTGTGTCAGTGACAGTCCCTGGGTTTGGTTATTGAGACTCCCGCTACCTTTCATGTGTCTCTGGGATGGACAAGGTGCAGAACCAGGCGTGAGTGGTTAGATATGTTTTATTATTCCGTGATTAAATTTTGTGGCTCTTGTCTGTACTGGTATGCGCATGTGGGTTTTGGAAGCCAGTGGAGTTTCTTGGCAGGAGACAGACA